CCCAACCATAGTTTAACCTGTCAGCAGCGAGAATTTTTTTTTGTTAGTGCTGTTTGTGCATTGCAGTTCTAATTGCAGCTATGCGCCTTTAGGATTTTCGTTATAGATCGGGCGGAACGGAGTCAAGCTGTCGTACCACAAAGGCCATATTTTCGTTGGCACTTCGTCAGGTTCGCTGTATCTCATGAACTCGCCGCCGAGATCTCCCGGGTTATCTGTCGTTAAAGTAGGTTTGTAAGCTTTGTGGTTTGTGTATATTTTATGAGGACAATCGACTTTGAACTAAATGATATTATAACAGGGTAAACGTGTGAGATTTTTATGACGTATATTTTTTGTAGTTTCGTAACTATATCCTGTCACAGAGGTAGAACATGTAAAGAAATTTTCTGAACGTTTGAGACTAGCACTTTTACCTTAGTTTCTCATTCCTGAGTAAGGCCCATTTATAGCATTTCTCTGCTGAGAGAGTAGACGACATGACGATAAAATTTTGTTATGCATGCTGTGCGAATTAGCATATACACCTCGCTGTTATCACCGTTTATTAGTTTCCTTGAGACGTAGTTATAGTGTCTTTTCCTTGGCCAGCTACTTTGAAAATATATTGACCGATGTTAGTCTTAATTACCTGAGCCTCTTTAGCTGACCATTTCAGTGTTGATGATGAGCCCTGATAACAATTGGAGAGTAAAATCCCATTTTAATTGGCTTTGGCTTTCGGTCCCTACGTTGATCGTTGCCTGTTGTCTATGATGGGGTACCTAAGAGCGGTGGTATAGAGCTGTTTAAAGCAAGCACAACATGTTTTAATCGAAGCTGGCAGTGCAGTTAGCTGTATCGTCATTGTTTAAAGCTGATGCTTCTCCATTTTGGCCTGCAGCTATTTCTCAGCGGCTGTTCTTCACAAATCCAAGTCGTAACAAGCCAATCAACGATCAGAGTGAGCAGCTGAAATGAAGCATTTTGGAGTGTATCTGTGTTACCTGTCAAGGCCTGTGGTAACCTACGAAATGGTCGTCTGATCAAGGAATGGTAATCATGAATTTGCAGCCGCCAGAGGTCTTTTAAGGCAGTTCATGAAAAAGAGACAGATGAAAGAGTTCTGACTTCGTCTATTTTAGCCTACGAATAAAACGTGGTCAGCTTTAAGGAATTCGCTAATCCATGGGTGAGGGTACCAAATAACCCTCATGATAAAGTTCCGAAACTCCGCCATGGCCGGTCCCAAGCCCGGATGAAAAAGGAGGAGGGTTGGAGACCGTGGCAAGTCTCCGT